CTTATAATGGGAATGGTTAATGTATCTGCATAATTCTTTTTTTTTTACATAGATGTTGGTATCTTATTTGCTGAAATTTCTACAAATGTAATTATTAGGTTAAACTAAACATCTTTTTAAAAAGGGTTTATTTATTTATGTGAAAGCCAGATTTACAAAGAGAGAAAGTGTGAGACAGAAAGACAGAAAGAGGCAGAGGAAAAAAAGGGAGGGAGAAAGGGAGAGAGAAAGAGAGAGAGAGAGAAAGAATATGAATCTTCCATCTACATGTTTGTGCCAAAGATGGCCTAAAAGAGGCTCCTGGCTCCTGACTTTTGGCTTTTGGCTTTTGGCTCAGCACTGGCTGTCACTGCAGTTTGGGGAGTGAACCAGTGGATGGAAGATATCACTCTGTTTCTCCTTTGTTCTGTAACTGTCTTTCAAATAAAAAGAAATAAAGAATAAAAGTAAATATTTTGAAAAAGTATTTTATTACATTTCTTATTCTTTTTAAAAAATTTTTAATCTATAATATTATTAACATAGTTAATTAGGGCAAAAAGTTTCAAGGGCTACAGGAAAGTGGGTAAGACTAGTATTTTTTCCATATTGTTTCCTTCATGTTTAAAGGGGGGGGTATTAAGGGAGAAGGCCCACCCAATTCCCACCCTCCCCAGGTCCCGCATGTAGGGTATGCTCTGAGGTTCTTGCTCAAGTGGTTTTGGTATTTCAACAGTTATGAATCGCTGTCAATCTTGCCACTCTAAGCACTATGAGGTCCTTGAAGAATCCACTGATTGACATAGTCCATCATAGCTGAGATGGTTGGTTGACCTGTTCTGTCTTCTCTCTTTTCTTGGTTAGGGTTCTGAGTCTAGCATTTTGATTGGGGAGATCTCCAAAAAGAAACTTTGTCTGAGGTGTGCTCAAACCAGATTCTTGTATGTGCTAGCAAGTACAGGGCCTGGCACAGTCCATCGCCCCGATCAGCTGGTGGTTGCAATTGCTGGGTTGGTTCTGTTTTCACTCCCAACTTCCACTGGAACCAATGGTTGTTGCAGTCTAGCCTGGTTCTGCCCCACATATACTTGGCCCTTGCATAAACCAGTTGGAGCTGCCGCCTAGTTGGACTGACCCGCAATAACCCCCACCAGGCCTGCCCCCTACCCTGATTTGCCAGTATGTGTAGCAGTAATCCAATTTGTCCCACACTCCATTCCACCCCAACCGCTGCCCTAGTTTTCATGCCCTCCCATGGAAGTGGTAACCCAAGAGGGATGAGCCCACTATTTCCCTCCCAGGCTTCTTCCACTCCCAGATTATGCACTCTCCAGATAGTTCTGTGGTTTGACTTGACAGAACTAGCTCCAGTGCCAGCTTCTGCCAGCTGATTTTGTGGCTAAGCCCGAACAACCCTCACCCACTCTAATTTTGTTTGCACCAGTAGGAATAATCAGCCCAGCTAGGCTTTTCCCTGATCTCGTCCACATGAGGCGCACAGGTGTTGTAGCCCTGCCTAGTCTGGTCTGCCTCCATCCCAGCCCACGCTCTCCAGCTGGAGTAGTTGTCCAGCAAAGGAACCACCCCTTATTCCCCTGCTGGCTCTGCCCCCTCCTGTCCTTGTTCTCCCGCTTGCTGGTTGGGTGCTGTGGTCCCTTCCAGTACAGACAACCTCACCTAGGCATTCTGTATTGTGCGCTAGTCATTGTTGCGACTGAACCTGGCTCGACCCACACTGTTCTGGTGCTTGGATTTGCCAGTGGATAACGTGGACAGATTCAGCCTGGTCTTCCCCCAACCCCTGCTAATTGTATGCCAGTGGGTAACTTTCCATGGCCTGTTCTGGGCTATTTCCTATCATGTTTCTTGTGCTTACCTGCCGGGTCTGTGTCCTGCCAGAGGAGTTGCCAAGACTCCTCCATCAGAACCTCTCCCAATGCCAGGTTTCACGCTTACCAGTGGGTCCATGAGCCAGCCCTACTCAGTTCACCTCCTGTCCTAGCAGGAACAGTGGCTTTTCCTGACTGGCCATCAACCCAAACTGGTTCTTGCTGTTGGATGTTCCAGCCCAGCCATGGTTTGTCTATACCCACATATGGCTCACACATGGCTCAGTAGGGATTTGAGACCTTGCCTAGTCCATCGCACATCTATCCCAGTCCTCCAGGATACCAGGGGGTGTTGGGGTCTGGCCCGGTTTGGTGCATCCAATCCCAGTCCACATTTGTGCCAAGGGAGACTACAGCTGTTTCCAGATCAGAACGCAGCCCTCATTCCAGGTCACACGCCCCTTGGTGGGAACCTCAACCCAGCTACGGTTGTCCCCTTAGCTCCCCAACCTGGCCTGTTCCTAGGCATAGATCACTTGCATGCCAGTGGTTGCTCTGACTCAGCTTGGCACAGCCCCTCACCTGTCCTGACCTCTGCCTTAGACACTGTGGCTTAGCATTCCTGGCTCATGCAGACTAGTAGGTACAAGAGCCTAGCTTGGCATAACCTGTGCTCCCTCCTGATGTGTAGTTTTGCTTGTGGGCTAAGGTTTGCCCAGTCCTGCCCAATCTACCCTGTTCCATTACCAATCGACACATTTGCCAGCTGTTGGAGCTACTTTTCCCAGCTTGTCCAACCCCCAGGTCTGGACCACATGTTCACCAGCGGGAGCTATGACTCACCAGGGGAATTTCCCAAGTTCTTCCACTTAATCCATGCCCAGACCCAGTTCTCATACATGCCATTAAGTTTAGGCCAGTGCCTGGCGCAGTCTGGCCTTCCATTCAGCCTTGTATGAGCTGGTGAACGTTGCAGCCTGGTCCACCCCACAACCTAATCAGGATGCACATTCGGGTGCTGCTGCCCTGACCAGTCCAGACTATTGGGGGTTCCTTTACCTGTGATTGATGGCAGGCTCCTTGGTCACATCTAGCTTAGTCCATGACCACCCCAACTCTTGAGATAACCAGCGGGGCTAGAATTTTCACAGGATGTGGCCCACACATCCCTCACAGAATTTATCCCCGGTTATGGTTCTTGAATGCTAGTTAATGTAATGGCTTGCTTAATGTGACCCTTCTCCTGATCTATCATCATGTCAGGTAACATGATATAATTCTGCAAGACAAGCCCCAAACCATTTCTTCTGCATGGACTGGTATTTGGTGGTCAGCATAGTTCAGTGATTACAAGTTTTACAAAGGAAGAGTTACTGCCAATGGGAATCTTCACGAATGCTTCACGTCCTACAAGCACAATGGGTTCAACCTGGAGCTAACTAAGCAGCGACTCAAAGAACCAAAACCCCAGAGCTCCCCGGCTGGGCGGCCAGCAGGAGGAGCCTGGCACTAAATAGCGCACTGGCTGTCCCAGGGACAGCTCACCACGTGCACATGGTGGCTGGTGTCTGGGATCCAGGCATGAGACGCCCTGTCCTGAGACCTACAAGCAGCCAGGAGGCTGCTGGAAGTTTAAACTCCCAGGCCCAAGGTCGCGCCCCTCCGCAATCCTATTCACAGCCCAATGAAGGCGGCAGGTGGGTCCCGGACCTGCCCAGTCACGGAGACCTACCCCCTCAGTGTACTCACCCCGAAGGGAGCAGCCCCCGGAGCCCAGGCAGGCCAAGGGACAGCTCACCATGTGCACATGGTGGCTGTCGTCTGGGATCCAGGCATGAGATGCCCCGTCCTGAGACCCACTCTTATTCTTTTTTTGACTGACATTGTCATCCTTGAAAGCTTATGACTAAAGCATTGATTAACTCAAGGATTAGTTCCGGATTCTTCCATGTAAAAGCAAACTTGAAATCTACAACATTTTGTGCTGCATATTATTTTCCCTTGACCATGTATTATAGTTTTATAGTGGTCTTATACATATCCCTACATGCCAAATTATGGTTTATTTAAAATAGAGGCTAATATTTATTATTTTTGTTTTCTCTGAAGTAACATATGTGTGCTATAACAGTCATATGTTCTGTACCTCTATCCTTTTCCTTTCTCTTTTACAGTAGTTGGACTTTTAATATTTCCTGTCTATCCTAATTTCACAGTATCCTGATCTATTTGTTTACAACCATCTGTTTTCACACTAAAACCTATCAAAGTATTATAAAAGTAATTTTGTAATTTTGTTACTCAAGGCAAGTAGTGCCTCTTTTTCTGTGTGAGATACAGCACTGCCTACTGAATGTGTGTACAAGACCCTCCCTTTCTCCTCTTTATCTACTCAGTGTCTACTCTAACCTTTAAGCGTTTGCTCTGACACCGTCAACCAAGTTCTTTGATGTCATGGGACATATAGGAATAACATCATGAAGTAGCACTGGGGCTTTTGCACATAACTGATTATGGCAAAGATAACTAGCTTAGGATTTGGGGCTATTTTAGGTTTCACTGAGTAGAGTTTATTTCATCACAGCTATGAAAACTATTTAGGATACAACTTGAGGAAGCATTGCACTGTGCTTACATATATCTTGGCACTTGTTCATGTTTTATCATCTGGAAACATGGCCTCTACCATGTCCATGGATTCTTCCCCAACTCCACAACCCCGTAACCTTAAACCACTGCTTTTGTGGTCAAAGTGTACATTTGTCTTTCAAGGCCTCGCTCCAATATTACTTCAATACCTTATCTGAGTTTTTCTGTGTAAATTTTTTTTCTTTTCCTCATAAAAATATGTGGTGTATAACTAAAAATAATCCTTCCTGTATTATTTATATTTTTGCTACCTTTCTGTCCTTCACCTCCATATGCAGATTCCATACACTAATTTGCGTACTTTTTAATCCTTCTTACCAAAGATAGTAGCCTGCATGTATTCAATTGGCATAAACTTTTTTTTTGAGTTGAATTATTGGATAACTAATAAAAGTAATATTTCATGGTTTGTGTAGGACAATTGACAGTGATTTTAGTTATTACTTTAAAAAATGGTTTTTGAGATTCATAAGAAGAGAAACAGGGAGACATCTTCTGTCTGCTGGTTCACTCCCAGATGGCTGCAACAGCTGGAACTGAGCTGATCTGAAGCCAGGTGCTTCTTCTAGGTCTCCCATGTGGTTGCAGGCTCCCAAGGCTTTGGGACATCCTCCACTACTTTCCCAGGGATGGGAAGTGGAGTAGCCAGGACACAAACCGGAATCCATATGGGATGCTGGTGCTTGTAGATAGAGGACTAGACAATTGAACTATCACCACAGCCCTTAGTCATTACTTTTAAAAAGAAAAACTGGGGCCTGGTATGGTAGCCTAGTGGCTGAAGTCCTTGCATTACATGCACTGGGATCAATCTCAAATGGGCGCTGGTTCACATTAGTGGATGTAAAAGCTTTCTCTTTATTCTCTCTTTCCTTCACTCCATAGATATGACTTTCCAATAAAAATAAGTCTTCAAAACAAACCTGACTTTCCAATCAGAACAAATAAATAAATCTTAAAAAAAGGAAAAACTATCTCATTTTCTTAATTTATTTAAAAGCATCATTGGGTGAGTGATTCCCTGACTTCAGTTACATAGAACAATGTCACAGGCCTGTTCAGTCACATAGGTTTAGGTTGCAAGTCCCAGTTCACGTTTCAGTAGGTGTGAGGTGGTGTTTAAAGGTATCATTTCTACTGAATGTGTAAATGAGGCTGAGCCACTGGCTAGAGGAAAAAGATACTCTAATACATTGTTGGGAGAGAATGTGAATCAGTGCTACCAGTTGGGAAAACCGTATAGATTCATCAGAACTCTGAAAGTAGTTCCACATGATCCAGTCATTCCATTCCTGGGAATTGGCCTAAATGAAATGAAATCAGCATTTAAAAGATTTGTAGGTGCCTCTATATATTTATTATAACTCAATTCACTATATTTGAGATATAGAATCAACTCATATGTCCATCAACTGATGCCTGGATAAAGAAAATGTGCATAAATACATACTATGGAATACTTCTCAGCCATAAAAAGATGAAATCCTGCTTTTGGAACAAAGTGGATGCAGCTACAAATTATTATGATTAGTGAAGTAAGCCATTCCCCAGAAGGCAAATATCATGTTTTTTTTATATGTGGAAGTTACTATACAATACCAAAGAAGCATTAACGGACATCTTGTAAAATGGTTGTTGCTTTAATTTTGTTTATGCACCATTTTTACTTTTTCCTTGTTGAATATTACAGCTTATTACAGTTATTGATGGATTAAGCCTGTGATTATAGAGTTAATAGAAATTATGTTTTGCAAAAATAAAAAAAAAGGAGGGAGGAGAGATTCATAGAATCACCTATGAAATACATGAAATCTATTCTCTATATATTAATAAAAATTAAAAATAAATAAAACAAAAAAGAATAATGTGATTAAAAAAAAAAAGAAAAGAAAACATTGCAGTCAGCCTTGGGGTTTCTATTCAGCCTTAAGAGGTCTCATGAAAACTTATTCTTGGAAGGATGTTTTTGTTTGTTTTTTGGCACAAGTATGGCAAGGCAAAATTAGGACTTGTGGGTTAAGTTTTCATTATTACAGCCATTTTTGTTAGGCTTATGCATGGGAAATAACAATGTGTCTCTGGAATTCCTTTTTTTCTTCATATATACCAATATTTTCAAACTGTACACACATTGCTGGTCAGAGCAAGTTCTGAACCATGAATCAAGAAACATTCTGGGGCCCGGCGCGGTGGCGCAGTGGTTAAGGTCCTCGCCTTGCACACCCGGGATCCCATATGGGCACCGTTTCTAATCCTGGCGGCCCCGCTTCCCATCCAGCTCCCTGCCTGTGGCCCGGGAGAGCAGTTGAGGACAGCCCAAGGCTTTGGGACCCTGCACCCGCATGGGAGACCCAGAAGAGGCTCCTGGCTTCGGATTGGCATAGCATCGACCATTGCGCTAACTTGGGGAGTGAATCATTGGACGGAAGATCTTCCTCTCTGTCTCTCCTCTCTGTATATCTGCCTTTCCAATAAAAATAAAATAAAATAAATCTTTAGAAAAAAAGAAGAAACATTCTGGGAATGTCTGTATTTGTTTATCATCCACCAGAAGCCAAGAGTCACCAAGTCCCCATCACATCTGTGTCTGAGTTCCAGTTAACACGAGGGCAGTGAGTTCAGCTGCCTGATTATGCTTCTGGCTTGAAAATCAGCGATTACAGCAAACATGTCTTGAAGAAGAGAGAACAGCCAAGATTGAGAGATTTTCTCTCCCAGTGCCACACGTTTTCCTGCTTATGCCTTGTGAAGGTCAATTTCCTCATAAATAATGAATCATTTTTAAAAGCTGTGTCACTTAAATTATGTTGTGGGTTTCCAAGGGCTTTACGAATGACACAGAGAAGTTGGCAATCATTTATAACACTGCTTCTTGGAATAAAGCAGCTCATTTGCAAATCAACTCAGGGAACACAACCTATCCACAAGTTAGGCACTGCTTGTTCTGCAGTTTCCAGAGAAAATTTGTCCTACTTGTTCCTAGAATGGCTCGTCTGTATACAGCAAAGTGATAATAGGAGCAGGTGTTTAGTTTGTGCAGAGGAATCAACAATTTGCTAAGACATTCTTTATTCATGTAGGATGGAGGCAAAGATACAAAAGCCCTGTTGTGATCGTCACAAGCTTTTGTTCTTGATGAAGAAAAGGTTTCAGGGCATACCTGTATTATTCAATCTGTCAGAATGCTGATCATCCTGAAGCCATTGTGGAAGAGGCAGCCTCAAACCTGCACGTGTTTGACTAGTGGGCAGGTTGAGGGAGGACCCTTAGGGAAGAAAGAAAAGAATAGGAAGTTGTACAGCTATGATGCACAGTGGCTGTGCAAAAATAGTGGCCAAGAACTCTAAATGCTCCCTTTATTTTTGGACTTGCAGTGGTACAGTGTCAACAACTGCAACCAGGTGACTGGTTTTGAGTAGGGAGTGTGGTAACCTAGTCTCTAATGAGACTAGTTTTTTAGTTCCAGAAATCAGCATATGTAAGTGTACATACTTTATGTGTATTAATATACATATACATGTATGGCATATATCTCTGTATATATAGACACACACTATTTTCCCCAAACCTTCCCCTGGTTTATTAAAGGAAATTATGTCTCTCTACATAAGCTCAGTTCAAGACATTTTTGTAAGCTATAATGCCAGGAATTTAGTCTACCCCTAAAGAATCAAGTATGTTAGGAATTCCACCATACCAAGGCAATATTATTACATTATTAACTACAGATGAAGTTTTTTTTTAAAGATTAAGAACCAAAATAAGTCCATAAAAGGCAAATCAGAATTGTAAGATGGATGCTCGGTGATCTTTCATAGAATTGTCTTTATTTCATAAGAGGAATGGCAAGAAGTTTTGCTCTGGTGATGGACTCTGGCAAAAGATTCTGGGGTTTTTTTTTTTTCTGCTAAAGCTTGAGATCGCTTTTTCAAAATACTCTCTGCAAATATCACCATTCTTTAGCTTTCGAAGAAGTCAGCAAGAATATGTGATGAGCACCCCAAAAGACTGTTACTGTGACCTTTGCTCTTGACTGGTATGATTTTTAAAAAAAGATGTATTTATTTTTATTGCAAAATCAGATATCCTGAAGAGGAGAGACAGAGGGAAACATCTTCTGTCCGCCAGTTCACTCCCTAAGCGGCCCAATGGCTGGATCCAATCTGATCCAAAGCCAGCAGCCTGGAGCCTCTTCCAGGCCTCCCATGTGGGTGCAGGGTCCCAAAGCTTGGGCCATCCTTGACTGCTTCCCCAGGCTATAAACAGGGAGCTGAATGGAAAGTGGGACTGCCAGGATTAGAACCGGTGCCCATATGGGATTCTGGCATTTGCAAGGTGAGAACCTTAGCTGCTAGGCTACCATGCTGGGCCCCTTGGTGTGATTTGAAACATATGTATATATTGGAGTTTGTTCATCCTGTGCCTGTAATGCTGCTATCCTATATGGAAAGTTAAGGCTCCTCCACTTTCAATCCAGCTCCTTGCAAATGTGTCTGGGAAATCAGTGAAAGATGGCCCAAGTCCTTGGACTCCTGCACTCACGTGGGACACATGGAAGGAGCTCTAGACTCCTGGTTTTGGTATGGCTCAGCTATAGTTGTTGAAACCATTTGGGAAGTAAACCAGAGGATGAACAATTCTATTTCATCCTCTCTCTGTAACTCTGCCTTTCAAATAAACAAAATTAAATATTATACACACACACATTCTGTATTATTTATTGAGCAGAATTGAGGGAGGGCGGGAGAAACAGAGAAGCTGATAGAGCGAGCGAACAAGAGAGAGAGATCTCCCATCTGCTGTAATACTCCCCAAATACCTGGAATGGTAAGGGCTCATACAAAGTAAAACCAGGAACCAAAGTCTTAGTCCTGATCACAAACGAGTGGCAGAGATTGAAGTTTTTCAGCTGTTAGCTGCTGCCTTCCAGGGTGAGCATTTTCAGGAGGTTGGAATTGGGGGTCAGAACTGGGAATTTAACCCAGGCACTCCAGGATGCAATGCAGAAATCTTTGCGGGGTATCCCCGACAGAATCCTTTAGTACCCAGTTGCCAGAGGGGGTGAGCCTGCTGTTCGCCATTCAGCCTCTCAGCACACGAGAGACAAACCCAGACCAACAAGAGTTACTCTAGCAGTTCTGATTTAATTGGGAAGTCCAAATCCTTACATAGAGTAGTGAACAGCCTCAGGCCATGAATTCCAGGAGGGAAGAAACTAGGAGCCAATTGTCATTAGCAGAACTGTGGAAGCCACCTCCCATAGGCTAGGGGCAGGTGAGCGAAATGGCCCTGGCCGATCAGTCTTTCTTTGAAGCAACTTGACCTCAGCCCTGGTTCAGGTCTAGGGTTCTGTCCTAGGCTGCCATCTCACATGCCACATGTAATCCAGTGACCTTGACTGTTCGCCGCCATCTTGTTGACTTAGTGACCTCTTTGTCCTTTGAGCCCCACACATCCCAATGAATGTGGTAGCTGCTAGACCAAATGCTCACCCTGACAGGCCTACTTTTGTTTTGGCTGGACCATTTGTATTTCTGACAGCCATTGCTTTGATTA